TGGATCCCACGAGTGGGTGCCAAAAGTTCTGAAACTCCAGGTTTATATATATTCCAGTTCAGGCAGAAATGGTCAATCCTTCCCTCAGAGCGGGGAGTTCCATAAAAGGCTCAGAGCGGGGACCTCCATAAAAGGTGTGAGGACAAGAGCATTCTCTTATCTCACAGGCCTCTTAACACCTAGCCTGATGAGTCAGGCTCTATGGGCGGAGGGTGTGAACAGTTTCTGGGTAATGGCATGGAAGGCTATAGAATACCATGATGAACTGATCTCAGCTGTCCTAACTAGGACACTTATCAATCTTCCTGCTCCTCAGTGCTTTGGTGGCCTGTAATTGCAATTAATGGTGATATATTTCTTTAGCAGTCAAAGGGCAGAAAAAACATATTTTACTGCATCCCTGGCTGAGTGTATGCTATTGCCTGGTCTTCTCAGGAGTGAAGAAACTGCTCCCGTGGCCAATCTGAGCCTTGGGGTAATTCCCATCATACAGAACTGCCTGCCTGCAGCTGTAAAAGTCAGGAGTGGTTCTAGGTTTCAGCTCTCTGTATAACGCCTTAAAACCCAATGATATCAATTCCATGGTCCAGGGAGGAAAAGGAATTTTGTGTTCTGTTTTCTTTCCCATGCAACCTCATTCCTTTACTTTCAAGAAATGGATCTCCAAGCAAAGATCTCTTCCTGCTGGTTTGCAGCCATCCCTTATTATCTGGTGGCCAGCTGTGGTTTTAGGAGAAGAAATAATTATAGAATCATAGAATGGTTTGGGTTGGAAGGGACCTTAAAGCCCATCCAGTGCCATCCCCTGCCATGGGCAGGGACACCTCCCACTAGCCCAGGTTGCTCCAAGCCCCGTCCAACCTGGACTGGGACACTTCCAGGGATCCAGGGGCAGCCACAGCTTCTCTGGGCAACCTGTGCCAGGGCCTCCCCACCCTCACAGGGAACAATTCCTTCCCAATATCCCATTCTTCCCATATCTAACCTTGTCCTCTGTCAGGGGGAAGCCATTCCCCCTCATCCTGGCACTCCAGGCCCTTGGAAATAGTCTGTCTCCATCTTTCCTGCAGGCTCCCTTCATGTCATGGAAGGTAATTTTATGTCTGCAATTAGGTCACCCCAAAGCTTCTCCCCTCCAGGCTGAACAATCCCAACTCTCCCAGCCTTTCCTCCCAGCAGAGCTGCTCCAGCCCTCGGATCCTCTTGGGGCCTCCTCTGGACTGGCTCCAGCAGCTCCATGTCCTTGCTGGGCTGTTCCCAGGGCTGGAGGCAGCTCTGCAGGGGGGTCTCCCCTGAGGGGCAGAGGGGCAGAATCCCCCCCTGCCCTGCTGCCCACGCTGGGGGATCAGCCCAGGGCACGGGGGGTTTCTGGGCCGGGGCAGGTCCAGCCTCTGCCCCACCAGCACCCCCAGGGCCTTCTGCCTGGGCTGCTCCATCTGCTCATCCCCAGCCTGGATTGATCCTGGGGGTTCTCCTGACCCAGGGGCAGCACCAGCACTTGGCCTGTTAGTTGTTGTCAGCCTTTGAGCTTTGCAGTCCCAAAGGACCAGGAAAGTCAGACACTCGGGAGTGGTGCTATTGGGACACTCTGCTGGGTGTCATCTTCAGACCAAGGCATTGGCTCAGAGCAAAACCTGTCCTTGATTCCTTTGCTGTTGAGTTATTCTCCCTTAGTAAGTGAATTCCCAGCTTTGAAGGCAGAAAGCAAACTCAACAACATCCAAATGCATCCTCCAGACAACCCAACTTTATCTTACTCAAGCAGATGACCGCTGCAGACATCCTGCCCAGCCAGCAGCCCAGGTGTGACCTCCAGGAGAGTGTCACTGTTCTGGCTCTGGGCCTGGGCAGGAGGGGTGGGGCAGGGCAGAGGCGAGCTGATGGGAGTCTGATCTGGTGTAAAGAGTGGCAGAAAGATGGAGGGGTGTGGTGGAGACTCACAGGAAGTGGAGCAACTCAGCCTGTTTTTGGGTCACGCCTTCACACTTGGAGATGATGCACCAGCACAGCAGCTTTGGGGGTTTCTTGTGCACTTGGTAGCATCGATAACTGAGCTGCTTTTATTTCTCCCACGAGGAGGGTGACCCTTTTCTCCGAGAACTTCCCTGGCTCACATACAGCAGCTTGTGTTTGTGCTTAGCAAGCACAGCTGAGTTGCTGCTGCTGGTGGGCGAGATGGTGGCATCCAGAAACCCAGGCTGTTGATCCTCTGTCAGTTGGCATCACATCTCAGCCCGGTGCAAAGCCATGTCAGCAGAGTGGGGCTCACTTTGATGCATGTTTTTGTACCCTAGGTGCAAAACTGCTTTGATCTGGGGACATTGCCGGGTCCCTGCTGCTTCTTTGGAAGTGTGGGCTCTTCAGAGGCACTTCCTGCTCTTCTGGGGAGCCCTTTGTGTTCTCTGTGAGCAGAGAGCAGGAACATGTTCACTGCTCCCAAGGAAAGCAAGGGGCTTTGCCTTACCTGATGGCACATTCTGGTTGGCAGTTGGAGAACTGGAAAAGGAACGACACGTGCACTGATAATTACTGCTTTCTGCAAAAAGGGTTGAATCCAGATCTCATCCATTCTGTCCTAATGGAGAGAGAGGGACCATCTCCTAATACTTTTGGTCGCTACTTTTTGTTCACGTAAGTGGCCTGTAATGAGGGCAGAGCCACCACCTGATTGCTGTTGGGAATGGATCCAGCGGCACAGCCATGTCCTAAGGAGGCTGTGTGTCACATGCCTTGTTCTCCCAGAAAACACGGAAACCTCTGGGGATCCCGAGTGGTTTGGCCTCTTTGCAAGCAGAGTTTCTGGTCTTGCAGTGTGGCTTCACCCTGTGTGGGCAACTCTGTCAGCCTGGCCACCCCATAATTACGTGGTTGTCTTTCTGGAGCACGTCAGGCCCTTCCAGTTCTTGAGCAGTGTGACCCCACACAGCAAAACAGTTGGGCTGTGGGATGGCTTGGAATGTCAAAAACGCAGAGATAAATTCAGAAAATGTCAAAATCCAGCCAAGCTGGATTTTCCAAGACTAAAAATAAATAATAACAGTTTCTTTTTCCAGGTAAGTAAGAGGAGGATAGAAACTACACAATGTGGATGTGTGCTCTATATATGGAAAAGGAAAATTTCTGGATTGTATTTTCACCAAATAACAGGCAGAAAGAAACTCAAAGATTCGAACATGCTCAATGCAAGGGACTAGTCAGAACAGTGAAAGAACTGGACAGGACAAGAGCAAATGGCTTCATGTGGCACCAGAGGAGGTTCAGGTTGGACATGAGGAGGAATTTGTTGCTGGAAAGGGTGGTCAGGCCTTGGCAGGGGCTGCCCAGGGAGGTTTGGAGTGCCCATCCCAAGGAAGGCCTGGCCGTGGCACTCAGTGCTCTGGGCTGGGGCACAAGGTGGGCATTGGGCACAAGGTGGACTCGATGGTCTGGGAGATCTTTTCCAGCCTGAATGATTCTGTGATCCCACAAACTGACCAGAGCACTTAATTAACTATTTAGTCCAGTGGCATTCTTTTTTGTATAGTTGTCAGACTGGGTTCGGGCTTGGATGGCCAAAAAAGGCCATAATAACTAAGTGCTGACAGCACAAAGCTCAGCAGTGACCCAGCAGAGAGAACAAGTCAGAGGTGGGCTGAGGTTTAACAGGGAGGACATTATCAGTGCAGACAGGGAGAGATTAACACTCCCCACTGTGGCACTGCCTTGGTCACAGCACGGGCACCCACAGCCACATCCACCCACGTGCAGGATGGCAGGGAAGCGCTGGCGGGGTGGTGCACAGTTTACAAGAGGGCACTCAGATGGGTGCAAACTGGACATGAGTGAACATGGGCTGGACACGAGGAAGATTCTCATCTGGACAGGGCAGCTTTGGGAACAGTCTTCCAGCAGTCCATGACCCAGCTGGCCTCAAGATAAGCTTGGCAAGATAAACTTCAAGATTAACTTCCTCAGTGAGAGGGAGGAGGTGGTTTGCCTGCCACTGATGGGAGATACTGAGCTTGGTGAGACAGGATGCTTTTGGTCCTGTGCCCTGTTTTCCTACTCTGCTTCCAGCCAGAGGTTCAAGCCTGCTTTTATGGCCAAGCTTCTTGCCCAAGACAACAGGGCTGTTGTAGTGACAACGCCGATAGTGTGACTTCCCCTGGCCAGGGCCATCCATCCCCCGCAGAAAAGAGGGACAGAGGAGCTCTGAAAGAGCTTCAGAAAAACCCAGTGTCAGGAGTTGGCATGAAACAAATCCAACTGTATCACGCTGCATTCAAAGCCACATCTTGTTAAATCATTCAGGGTGAAGAACTGGAAACGGGGGCGGTTTGCCAAGTTATTCAGCAGTCACAGCTGGTCAGCAGCTTTCTAAAATTACAACAGTCATCTAAGACAGATTTTCTTCAGGACCAAGGCACCTTTTTAGGTGATTCAGTAAACAAAATGTTGTCTGGTAACATTTCTCCTAATCCTAAGGCAGAAAATCATCCTTGTGCTGCCACTTTTCAATTCCTTCTACATTTTTTATTGCTACTCAGAGTTTTTATTTTCTTTTAAAAAGTGTTGATCACCCACATTACCCTTAGAAAAACCAAGGCCACATGTACTTTTATCCAATGGATGTAAGAAGCTGTTTTAGAGATATTTATTTTAAGAAGTTTAGAGGCAATTTAAATGCCATTCAACATTTCTTTCTTATCTGGACTAGTTAACTTTGCCACTTTATTTTTTCCACAGGAGGTAACAACTCACTGCTGGCTCACTTTTCTTCTCTGTGTGCTCTTCACTGCCTTGTTTTGTGAAGCTTACCTTTCATCTCCTCTAGATTTGAGAGATGGTGAGGCATTAGGAAGCCAAAGAAATTACTGTACTTGCTAATACCCTCACACAAGAGGAGAAGCAAATATCAAAATGAACTCCTAATCCCTTTGGTGTTAAGATGAAGACAGGTGCTTGTTCTGTCCTCCCCAAAGTCTGCAGCCATGCCAAAAGTACATCGTGGTTATGGTAGCAAGGGCAGTCCAGACCAGTTGTCACAGAATCCCTGAATCATTCAGGTTGGAAAAGCCCTCCCAGCCCATGGAGTCCCCCCTGTGCCCGATGCCCACCTTGTGCCCCAGCCCAGAGCACTGAGTGCCACGGCCAGGCCTTCCTGGGACACCTCCAGGGATGGGCACTCCAAACCTCCCTGGGCAGCCCCTG